TAAATACTTCATAAACAAATGACCATATGCATCAGAAACAAATATCATTAGCTTCAGAATTCCAAGCTACACCTGGGAACTTCTTGTCAGTGTCGAGGAGGCTTCAAACTCTCATCGAGGATTTATTGTATTGGTAAACGCCTAATGATTAGGCTCTAATCTTTAGTTTAGGGTATCTTCTTTTAGGAACAGTATTTGTGGTTGGTTGCAAGGGCACGTTAACAGAACGGAGGGATCGGTGGCCTGTCAATTGAAACGATGGCAGTGTGAATTGAAGCGTGAACAAAGCACAGTGGATACAAACTTAGAGAAGAGTATGGATTCGAGGCGTCAACTAACAGCCTTGCAACGTCTACAGAATAATAATCTGTAATCTTGAACGTATCGTTTTATATTCAATTAAATACAGTTCTGGTCTGCATTACACTTCACTAACCTTGATTCAATTCTGATCCCACATAATATTTTAACAACACCAACTCACATGAACCGTCCAGCGAAAACACTCAATATTAATAACTGCCAGTGGAACCATTCGAGCCGACAATATCAAGGAAACCGGAACACGATCAGGAAACGAATTCTTTCCGGGCCAGCGTTCACCCCCGTCCAACCCCCCACATCCAGCTCCGCCAACCGAATCACAGTCCCTTTCAAACACATCCCTTCCCAGATTCTGTCCGTTCGACGTCCCCGACACGTCGAACGCTTTCACCGTGAATATTTCAACCATGTCGCGAGACAGTCGCCGGAGATGAGGCGCGTGGGCACAAAAAGATGACGTCACGAGTCACGCAAGTGTATCCATTCACCCCCAAGACAGCTCTCCCCGTTGTCCTTCCACGTTCCAATAAGCAATCCACGAGCGGTCGTCGGGCCTGACTAGCGGCGGCCGCGTTAATAATTCCCGCTTATCTCGATTTAACATGATATATCGCGCGCGTACGCTACACAAGGAACAAGCACGAGGCGATAATTTATTCAAACGCGTTACGGACAGCCGTCTCACTCTTGCGCACACCTTGGGGCTGTACTCCCCCTCTCCCCGTGAGGAATCTTCTCTCCCCGTTGGACCCTTCTCTTCCAACGCCCAGAGAACGACGACTGTACCGGCGCGAAATTAGCGATCGCAATTAGTCGCGGCTGTGGACCGTGGCTGCCTTTCCACCGTTGTTTTCCTCGATCCACCTTCGGGCTAAGTAAGACAACGCTCGCCAGATTGTTTCCAACCCTTCCAACCCCCCTTCCTACGCTCTTTGTCCTCTTCCTTTTGCCACCCTGCCACCCTTCTGCTCCATTTTTCTTCTTCCATTATTCTTTTTTTTTTTGTACGTTCTCCGTTCTTTCTTTTACTCCTTCCCCAGTCTGGAATACGCTCTTCTTTCCTCGACGCCCCTTCTCTATTGTTCGCTTCCTTTCGTACCCCTTTTTACCGCCTATTTTCGGACCCCTACTGTCTTGATTCGAATGGAATTAAATGTGTATACTATTTCGATGGGATTAGATGTCGTGAGTGGAAGGAGTTCTGTAGATCGATATTCACATTAATCGAGGGTTGAATTATCGTCGAGACTTTCCGATTAGGTAGCCAGGTACATTAAACATTTGTTTCCTTTTATCTTTGAGGTAAGTAACACGAAGCACGTTAAATTATATTTAACCTTATACTTTTTTGTCTGTATCCGCTCCACCCTCACGATCCATTTTTCTCCGGTTCCTTCCGTCTAGTCTAGAATGTCCCTTTACCTCTTCGACGATCCTTTTGTCCCATTCTCCCTCTTCTTTTTCCCCATTCTTCCTTTCCCCCTTTTCACGCCGCCTCCCATCCACCCTGTCCAGATGCACGCGAAACTGCCGCGCGAGAGTCCCGTTCTCCCGTGGGCAACATAAACCCCTGGACAAATTGCTACGTGTGTTTACGTTAAATCGCTTAAGCGACTGCTGCTACACCTTCGTTTAACCAGCTCGAAGAGGCCGCTTGTAACGGCACGGCGATAACCATCTGCGAGAGAGGGCCATCGGCGTAAGTCAAGCTTCGATGGGGCCGGCATGAGTATCGTTTCTCGGTGTACACGCGTTCATCTGGATTAAGAAGACTTCACCGCGGTCCGACACCTTCTAAAGTCTCCACTTCGAGTTTACTAATCTATCCTCGACACTCCTTGCAAGTACCTTTAAAACGTTCACCACTGAAAAACTACATCAGGCTATACACGATAAGACGGTCTCAGGGACGGTCCTATAAGACTCGGTGAGCAGAAAAAGACAATCGATTTTCATTATTTTTCTGCCTACTGAGTCTCATGCGACCGTCTCACCGTGTATGAGTTACTTAACCCCTTGCCCTATGATATTCTTGATGTCAGCAGTCTCCATAATTATTTTACCATCAATAATTCCCCGGAAACAAAAGGAATTCGTCTACTTATCGCAATTGTACATTCACTCTAAAAGTTAAATATTAATATCAGCAATCTAGTATTTCACGTTGACTCAAAGGCAAAGGGTTAAGAAAAGATCGACGAGAATAAAAGTGTTTCTGCAGTGTAATTAGACTCTTCCGTAAGAACAACCAACCCAACCCTAGTCAGGGTCAAATATCCAATCCCAACAATCTCGTCCGATCGATCATCAATTCACTTCAGTGAAATGGATACGTTCGCGTCAGACAGGCCGATCGTGACACACCGTCGAAGTGTCGAGGAAGGTTAATCCGGCGCACAAGACGAAACGGAAACAGATCCATCCCCCCCGTCCATGGATTGCGATTCATTTACACCGTGCCAGGTGTCGGTTTCTTAGACGCGTAACCAACCGATTCGGAAGCTAGTTTACCGTTACACCCTAGCCACGATCGAAAACATCGGCCGTGGACAGGTCTAACCTCGTTCCCGTGGTTGGATCCGATTTCACGTTCGAGCGGATCGACGGCGGTGATCGACCGTCGGAAATCCCATCCGTTCCCGCGAGGATCCTCTTCGACGAACGGGTCTCTCCTTCCTTCTGGGTTGCGTGCAACCCGACCGTTCCCCTCGAATGATATTCATTCGATCCTACGACGGACTGCCCAGCTGCCAGACGAGGCACGAGGTAACAATGACCCCCGGCGGGCGAACGGGTTGCGTTATTCGTCGAACCAGGGAACAGGAAATTGGAATCTCGAGACGCGAGTGTGTCAAGGTCGTGTCTTAATTCATACAGATTTTAATGGAAGATGGTGGAGTGCGTCGTTCCGTAGAGTTGGCGAAAGAAATTGCAAAAATAATAGGGATGAATTTTCAAATTACAGTGACCACAGATTCGTTCACGGGAGGCTGTTACCTTTATTTGATCAAACTTACGTACTGTATTGCAAATGTCATTTCAACACATAGAATAACTTATCTAAATCGTTATTTCAAAATTGTGAGACTGATACATATGTTGCATCTAATTATTTTAAAGTCGAAAATCTTGATATTAAGCAGAAACCATTTTTTATTTATTTTTGGTAGGAATACTTGAATTTCTCAACTGATAATGTGGAAATCTACTTCACCTCAGTGAAACTACGGATCCTCGGTGACAAAAATTAGATATTAACAGGCGACAGAATCTCACGTACATAAACGACGTGTACGAAGACTTCCGTGAGTAACTGTACGCGCAAGAACAGATTGATTTTCGGGGTGTAAATCTCTAAACGATGTGTATTAATCAGTCTCGAACCCACGGGAACTTCTAATCAATCACTCACGGTCCTTCAATCACAATACCGCGCAGCATCTCTTCACCACTCTGCCCACCCCATAAAAATACAGATGACACCCCCACCAGTCCTAATCGTCGCCTCCATATACCATACTACACTTTCATTTCCTTCATCCCGATAATCCAATCCCGTCGAAGTTCCCGCGGCAAAGTCCATTACAAGAATAACAAACTTTCGAGCAAACGCGATCAAAGCTCGAACAAACAGGGGGGGGGGGGTCGTGCAGAAATCGTCCCAAACAGTCATCATCCCCCTTCTCTCTCACATCGTTCGCTGGAACGTTGCCGCGGTTTTATCGCTCCCTACCCCGCCCCTAGGCGAAATAACTCGTAAATATGACAATCGAGTGGAAGTAGCGCGGGCGTAACGGCGCAAACCAGAGGAACGGAGCCACGCGTCCGCGATCTTCCTGTCCCGGAAGGAGGATCGGCATTCGCGGAAGAAGGCGCAGCCTCCGGCGGGCACCAGGGGGCCTAGCACCACCACCACCGAAGCATCTCCACCACCCCGCCGTCCAGCATCGCCGCCACCACTACCACCACCACCACCCCCGACGACAAGGGGATGAAGAAGAGCGACGATATCGAAGTGAGACGTGTATATATGTATATATAGAGGTGCGCGCACGTCGGCAAGTTCAGTCGTCGACCGCGTGCCGAGCCGCGAGCATCGTGCAGGCAACCCTCGAACTGCACCCGGTTCTCTTCCCCCCTCACCCCCAAAACATTCGCTTTCCTTCCCTTGCATTTTTGCGATCGCGCGCTGATTCGCCAGCCATCCGCCGGTCACGTGTAGTAGTCCGTCCTCTCATCATCGCCAGCCGGGGTTGCACGCTCGAACGGAAGTGCAACCGACCAAGTGCGAGCCAACCCCTGGCTCCTCTATTCTTTCGTTCTTTTTTTAGAACTGGGATTAATTAATGGTACTGGTGTCTTCTATTCGATCACGTTGGTAGAGAAAACGCGTGGCTGGAAGGGGTGCTTTTTGTTTAGAGTACAGTGGGTACTCGATGGGGAACGATTGCACCTGTCTGGGATGGACGATGGATCGCGGTCGATCGAATCGTGGAGAGTTATGCTGATTCGTAGAGGATAGGATTCGTTACACGGACGGTGACACGTGTTATGACACTTGGGATTCCGAGAGAAACGTGGATCGTTGATTTTTTTCACAGTCTTGCCCTTTTTTTCTTTTTCTTGTTTTCATTTGGCCATGGTGGTGGTTGTTACGTAGGACGCAGTGAGATGTGATGGAGATGAAGACCAGCATACTGCTTCTGGCCCTTCTTCGGCTCGCCAGCGCGCTCGAAAGTAAGGATCGTTTTATACGTAGATCCCCCTTGGTTTACCATTCAGCACTACGATTGTTGCAACTCTCGTATCGAAAGTAAATAATACATACATTATCTTTAACATTTTCTTATACACTTAAATACGAACGGAACGCTTCAAAAGATTAATCTCTCAAACATTGTTTTTTGCGATACACAAAATAGCAATTATTTGTTACAATAAAAAAATACGATAACCAAAGTCAAGGTATTCTAAGAAAAAAAAAGCATTATCTTAGATCTATACATCCCGAAAATCTTTACCCTCGCATCAACCCTTGGATATCAAAGACATTCGCGCCGACATCACGCTAAATCCCAACGGCATTGCGACTTCACGTGACGATCGAAGGGAAAGGGGACACACGAAAGTCTCATCCCCCGACAGAGATAAATTCCTGCCTGCGAATTTACCGCGACAGACGGATATGCCTCGAGAAGCCCGTGGCTCGAAAATCGTGACATGTTTTTCCTAGCGCGTGACAGCGGTGGTAATCGTCGTTCACCCAGTCCCCGACGGTTTACTGCTTTCGAGTCAAACAAGAGGGACGCGGTTCCCTTAGCCGTGCAGGGTAATAAAGTTCCTGCACGACTCTGCTTCACCGTGCCCGCGCGACAGGAGAAAGAGAGAAACGGATAGATAGAAGCGTACGGTCAGAGTACACCAAGTGTAAAGACTAAGAGATCTCCTAAGCGAGCGGATCCCGCTGACTGATACACGACGTAAAATCCCGTACGCATCGTTAAACCGGGCTTTACCGTTTCCATCGCGCGCCTCGACGACTAAATTTACCGCGGCCAGGCCCCGCCACGCCGTCCGCGCGCGCGCTACGGAACGTCCGATCGGCTTGTTAACGCGGTTACGATGATCGAGGAAACGAGCGCGCACGCGGTACCACGGATCTATCCTTGGCCGTGGCTCGTTTCGCTCGGTGAATTAACCCCCCTTGCTCTCTCTTTCTCTCGTTCTCCATGCGATGTATACACACAGACACACATCGTTTTACTCTTCCGTATGTACGCTGTGTCCAATCTTTATCGGATGTTCGCGGGGTAATAACTTAACGGGATAATGATCGAGCAAATTGGAACCGTTTTGGAGCTGAGGATGAACAGGGAAATGCGTGAAACGAGTGCCGTTTTGATACCCGATGGTGAACTCGAGCGTTCCGTTGGCGGAGGATTTGAACGCTTGGCGTAAACGCGGGAGGAAATTGCTGATTCGGGCGAAGATTGATGATGATTGGGGGAATAGTTAACGCGTTGACGGCGGATTCAATGTTCAGGAGGGATATCGGGGAAGTTCCGTCGAGATGAGTTGTTTGAGCTGCGATTCATCGCGATACGGTTTCGATATTTTTGGGATGATTTGATTTAATATACTGCGTGGCGTAATTGTAAAATCATCATAACAAGGGAGGACCAGAATTGGGCGACTTCGATTTTAACTGGGATTTTTAAGATGATAGTATATAGGTTCCTGAGGATTTATGTGAAATATTAGGTACAGACACTTGATAATTTTAAAGACACGAACAATTAAAGGTCTACGAATCTTCGATATATATTATGAATGTAATCGAAGACCACGTTAAAATCGAAGTCGGCCAGTTGGTGTTCTTTGCTTGTAGGATTTTCAATTCTTATGTATTGTCGTTAAAATAAAAACGATGCAAGTATACCAAGCTTGAAATCGTATTGAGAAATAATGATTATATTTCCTAGAAAATAGTGGTTATAAGGATTGACAATAAAATAATGGTTTTATAATTATGGCATGCATTGTATCTATTCCTTCAGGAAATAGTTACATAGTCGATTACATCCTTAATTGGTGTATCTTGATGGATTAATAAGGTAGCACGAGACACGTGAAATAAAGTTCAAACTGTCTCATGAAGGGGGTGCATAGTTCGGAATTAATTTAGGAAAGGGGGGCTAGTTAACACGAAAGTTTCTGTATCTGCGATCTGAAGTTGCGTGAACTCACCCTTTTGTTTCAGACACGAACGAGGAGGACGACACGGAGGAGGACGACGAGGAGAATTATCCGGTGGATGACTATGACTACGGTGACTATGAAACCGCGACTAGAACCAGCGACACCGATCTTATCGCTGGTGGCTCGTTGCCGATCTTCTTGGCGGAGCCTGTCGACACGTTCGTCGTCAAGGGGAAACCAGCTACCCTACACTGCCGCGCTGCACATGCTCTTGTGGTATGGAACACGCAATTTCGAGGATGCTAAAACTTTCCTCGCTATAGTAACCGAAAGCACTTATAGCTGTGAGTCATGAATAAAGAAGGATCTATTTGATTGATGGAGCAAGATCTATGAATAACTAACCCCACTCACCGTGTTTCACTTTAACCGTTTCGAAGATTAAAAGAGTGCTATCAAAAATACTTTACGCGCATTATTATCATAATTGAACGAACAGGGTAGAACAAATCTTCAATTTAAAACGTTAAAACTCTAGTTTATGTTATCCAGCTTTTTAATATCACGAACGGTCAAACTCTCCTCTATACACAAAATACTTCTAAATTCTTCTTCCATCATAGATACAGATATGCATGAAAACACTGTCGTCCCACGTTCCAAGATTCTCGACCCCAAATTACCCGGGGTTAGGATGCGCGCAACAACACTGGCGCGTTAAAGTCCATTTCACACCCGGTTTTTCGTTTCCCGCGTGTACAATGGGATCCGGCTAGTTGCGTCGAAAACCAGAAACAAAGCCCTCTTCATAGGGTTACTTCTCCGTGGAAACGGGGTATACAGAGCGTTGTTTCGGGCCGACCGTGCCGTTTCACGCGTTCGCAAAATAGGGTCTAACCGCCACGTCGTCGACACCCCCCAGCGTCATTTTCCACTCGAGGCCTTATTAACCACTCAAAGCTCCGCCTGACGCGGACACACGTCGGCCTCTTTACGCGTATAGCCGCGAATTACGGTCGCTCGGTGTTACAGGTGTATTTTCAGTGCAACGGTGACCAGGCGGAACGATCGCAGCACCAGGATTTCGTCGACCCTCGGACCGGAACGAGGGTCGTGGAGGTCGAATTGAACGTGACGAGGAACGAGGTCGAGGAGTACTTCGGCAGGGAGAGGTTCAAGTGCGAGTGCGTGGCATGGTCGGGACCAGGTCAGATCCGAGGGCAGCCAGCCACAGTTGAGGTCGCCTGTAAGTAGAGAACGCCACCCATCTCTCGACTACCATTTTCTTCTCTCTCTGTCTCTCCTATCTCTCAGTTTCTCTACTCCAGTACGTCGTCCCGTTTCCTTCCTCTCGCGTGGATCCTGCCAAAACCGTTTATCCATCGAACATTTCTTCTACTTCTCGTGAGATTCCGTGGATAAGGAAAATGTTCTTCTTCATTGGAGAAACGGAAGCCTGGAAAGTTGTTGCGGGAACATTTTTCGGGTGTATTAACATATATATAGCGGCATGAGTCAGGAGGGGAGTTTATGATCCTTGGGGGGAGCGAATAGCAGGGATGTTGAGTGTAAACGGATACTAAAGTGTTATCGATTCTGGGAATTTTTATGTTTTTTTCAATACCCGGTCAGTTAACAGAGAATATCACATGACAATTATTATCTTTACTTTAATTCTACATAATTAACCCTTAAATTTATGGTACTACCATTTAGCAAGAATTACAGTAAATCCTCGATGAGTGTTCGAAGGCTACTCAGCACTGGCAAGGAGAGGTCCCCAGATATTTTATTAAATTTCGAGAAATCATGCATTTAAGGGCGGTGAACATTAAATCGGTAACACGTTCTCCCTTAATCACTTTATTTCAACTTTTACTTCCAACGAACAGCGACATTAGTCCTACGGGCGGCTTTTTTCCCCGAAAAATTGAAAGTCTGGCCGCATTGTTCAGCGGGGTTTCGTTAAACCAATTCGCAGGTTACCATTCCCAATTTGCACGACGGCGATACGCGTTTGCTTCCGTGGGTCGAAAAAAAAAAAAAAAAACTCGAACAATACCCGGTCGGAGGGAGACGAACCGGGGCTCTCTGTATTCACAGGTGTTTGCCTTGCAATAGAATATCGATTAGATTTTCGGCTCGGTTCACGCGTCACGAAATATCGGATGAAAACAAACGGGTTGCGGCCGCCACACCCGGGGCCCGGTTAACCCTCGCCGACAGCGAGCTTACGAGAGTGAATTTCGCGTTCCGGTGTCTCGGAAACCCCTGTTCCGGGAGTCAGCTCCGGCTAATCGGGTTAATGAAGTTACGTTTTATGACCGATTCCAGGTGTCGGTCGCTCCGGGTCGTTTTCTCCCTCCCTTTGCGATCTCTACCGCTACTGTTCACCCCCGTTTCACGCCCCGCGGGCACGAATACGCTACAATTACTGCGTCCAACGTCGATCCACCCTCCTGGAACCGTTTATACCGAATCAAAATTATGGAAACTATCGACCCTCCCAGTTCTGTTTAATTACCCCTGTTCCCTCCTTCGAATTCAAATTCAGGTGGCGAGGGAGAGACCCAAGAACCCCTTCGTTCTTGGTCATCTTGCACGTTAACGGAATTGTTCCTGGAATCGCCCGCACAGGAAATGGGATACTCTATCGTTGAAATGTTACCCACATATTCATTGGAACCCGTTAAAGCCCTTGGATTCGATACTTCATGTCAATAGGAAAAACGTGGAGTTCATTTCCTGGAATACAGGGTGTCCTACATAACGTGGTCACCTTCAATATCTCACTCATTTTTTAAGATACACATAAATGTGAGGTCATATTTTTCGAATTTTCTAGGTCATCCGTGTTTTTTTTGAACGGGATTGCATATTTTCATCATCGTGGCGTAATAGTTGAGGTCAAGACCAATGTAATGACCTATAGTCGTGTCACTTTCATTTCACCTTTACTACGAAAAATCCACAAATGTAAGGAAGTATATATAAATAATAAAGCAACTGTGACACAGTGATTATTACAAAAATGTGTCGAAGTTGGATATCATTTTGAGCATTTGTTAAAATAATTTTTCTACAAATCAAAAGTAGAGATATTTAAGGTGTTCACGTTAAGTGGGTTACCCTCTATAAGATTTTTAAATTCATATCCGTCACGTCGTGGAATCGGCGCCACTCGTCGAACTTTCTGTTTGCGCCGTCTGCGAGTCATTCGAACCGCGAAAAGGACTCTGTGGATCGCGCTCGGCGAACGGAAGTGAATTGTTTTCGCTCCGGGGCGTCCGCGGTGGGAGTCGGGGACCGCGTTCGCGCGCGTCGAAAGAGCAATTTTCATTCAGACGCGTCGCCGCACGGCGGGCAAACACGCGGGGCAAACAGGAAGCAGAATTAAATCCGTATTTACGCGCAAACAGGAAACGGACGTGCTTTCGAAATTGAATACGCGGTATCGATCGTCACGCGGTGTCTCTAATCGCGGGACCATTGTCGTCGAAACAGTTGTATCGCGTGGACGCAGACGATCCTCTTCAGAAGAACCGTAGAAACGCATCAAATTAATCTTCACTACTAAATGGCCGTCGGAGCCGATGAAAATTCCTGAAGACCGTTAACGAAACCGCCGAGAAATGAGATAGCTACTGTCTTGGAGCATTATACCAAAATTATCTTGCAAGAAATTAAAAAATTGAGAATGCAGAATTAAATTTTTCAGACAAAACTTCCTGCCCGGAAGAATTAAGATTGAGGTTTAAATGTGAGCTAGCACTTTTACTTCACGACACAGTTCAACGTGTCTAAAACATGTTTGCTTTATGATATGCAATTAAAATAAGCTTCTTTTTCTCTCGAGTCGTAGCTTCACCACTATTCTCTATATATTTTCAATTACACCATATTTAGACCGTAGTTTCTATTCGGACCATCTTCTCTACGGACATGCACACGAACAGGCTTATTCTTTCCACATTGACGCACGAAGAAAACAAATGACGATTAGTTCCAGCGATGAAACACTTCCTAGAACTCGTATAATGAGACTTTTTTCTCAACTAATAACACCGTATTAACCATACGACTTGTGAGTACAGTCGGCCACGGTGTGGTTAACGGTGCAGCTTTAATTAGATGTAATGACTCAGCTAGAAAATCCCTGGGAACAAGGATGCGTCGATTCCCAGCACGGAAACGCTAATCAGTTATATTTCAATAAACCATTCGCGCGTGGCTAATCGTTTCCCGTTCTCCATTCACGTCGGTATTAAAAAAAAAAAAAAGGCAGTCGGTGTGATATCGGCTCGAGAGTGCAGTCTAGACCGAGGGCAAGAATGTAGCCGGTGCATCGATGGTGGCCTGGTGCATTGCTCTTCACGAACGATATAAAAGCGGGGTATTTTTGCCGGGGTATACACGACGTACACCCGAGTAATATACCATAGCCAGTCGCGAACCGGACGAATAGCCGCCCTCGTGGCCGCGGATCGAGAAAATCTTTTTCTGGCGTTCCCCTGCCAGGCAACGTGGTCGTTCGAGCGAGGCATATAGAGACGCGGCCCTATGAAAGCGCCCTTGCATTTGTACACGCGCCCTAATATCGCTGAGTGCCCTATCTCCCTCACCGTCATTTCTCTCCCATCCCTCTTCTATCCTGTCGACCCCGTGGTTCTGGGGAATATTAAAAAAAAAAAAAAAAGAGAATTAAAATGAAAATCGCGACACAGACCTGAAGAAGCACTTCCTGTCGCCGCCGTATTCGTTGTCGGTCGAGGCGGGTCGGAACGCTGAGCTGCGATGCTCGCCGCCCATGGGAATCCCACAGCCGAAAGTCTACTGGCTGAAGAATGGCTCGCCCCTGGAGACGATCACCACCTCGACGACACCTTCCCCCGTCCAAGGTGGCATACCGAACGATCTGTCGTTCGCCGGGAACTTCCTGCAAACCGTTGAAGGACACCTGATACTCGGCGAGGCCGAGCTCAGGCACCAAGGGAATTACTCCTGCGTCGCCGAGAACATCGCTGCGAGGCGGGTCAGTGAACCGGCGGTGCTGACGGTTTACGGTGAGACCCTCTTGCCAATTCCGTGGGACCGGCCACCGCCGCGCATGAATATTGCAGAAGGTCGTGTGTGATCGCTTAGTAGTAATTAGAAACGGTAATCGCGGCGGTCGCCGATAATTACCTGTGGTGTGTGTGTGTGTATTAGTCTGATCGCGAGGATGCTGCATCGAATTGGAGGTTCAGCCATTTGTTTAACGAGGGAATTTGGAATATTTGGGTCTTACAAGGAGGCTCGGGAGATTGTAACCTGTGCGATCATTGTTCAGTTTTTTTCCCGCATCGTGGTTCGATGTAAGAGGGCAATAAAGTCGAGGATTGATTCCCTTATTTGAAACTAAACGTTCGAATTAAAATGAACTTGTGGAGTTAGAAAGGATACGAATGAATCTGAAAATTATTCGGGAGGAAGCCCTCCGTTTTGTTATAGTCGAGATGACGTGCGACCCCTTGAGAATATTTCAAAATGTTCCTAGATTACGTACCTACTCTACCGTTCGGAAGTATTAGGGCACTTTGTCTGTATGATGACAGTGGGTCACGTTTATTGCTAGACGTATGTATACTGTGGATTTTTAATCCAGTTTAATACGTTTTATGTGGTATTATGAACATAGTAAAGTCTCCAGTGCAGAATCCAATATTCTGTCCCATTTCAATTTTCAGAATTTTGTAGAGTAGAGTGTCTAAGTATTTGAAATTGTGAATTAGCATAAACTTTTGCAGTCTAATTATCATAGTAGATTTACCGTACATTCGATAAGTAATCTAATACTTCAGCACGTGAGTACATAACAATCTCGCGAATTGCTGAAGCATTTCTCCGATCGATTCGATTTCTGCCCGGTCATCGACTACCAAATACACAATTACACCGGGTTCTTCGCTAGACGAGGATCTCTCCTTCTCCAATAACAATTCCCCCTCTATTTCGGACTCGTTCCCAGTGAACGGCGGGTGGTCTTCCTGGTCCGGATGGTCGGACTGCAGCGTCCGTTGCGGCCGAGGTGTACAAAAGAGGACACGGGCTTGCACGAACCCGGTGCCCATCAACGGAGGGCAGAGCTGTCCCGGGCCGGCCACTCAAAGGGTCGAATGCAATCCTTCCTGTCCTGGTAAGCGATTTAATTATAAAATTAACAATGGCCGGTCAAACGGTTCCTAACTTCAAGCCGGATCTAAATCCACTTCCCCTGTAACGCTTACGATCCCCGTACAAAGACTAAGGATCCCCCGAAAACAGCTACGGCACCCAGATGCAACCGAACGTCTCTTATCGCAGGGGCCAGTCGAATCTGATAACCGAGATTTAATCATGATTTTCAAGTTCACCACGTTGCTTTCAGCGGTCGACGGCAGATGGTCAAGCTGGTCCTCGTGGTCCGCATGCGGTCCCGATTGTTCCAGAGCGAGGAGGAGATCCTGCAACGACCCCCCGGCGAGCAATGGTGGTCGTCCCTGTCAGGGCAAGGACGTCATCGTCGAGTCTTGTTCCGCGGATCGATGTAATGGTGAGCTCCAACTGTGGGTTCTCAGTGTTTTATTTTCGTTCCTTTCTTGTTTCTTTCTTCTTCTATTTTTTTCTCTCTCTCTCTCTCTCTCTCTCTTGTATTCGTTCCCGGTGACTCGGCCCGGCGGCGGACAATTTATTACGAGCGAACGGGCTCCTCTTCTCTCTCGCGTCGCGTTCGATGAGCGTTGCATGCGCGCCGACGGGGACGATACGATTTAAATTAATAATGACTCGCAGAAAGATGCCCCCCCCCCACACTCCATCCCGTTGATCTTTTATTTGCGCCGCGACTTTAACCTTCTTGCAAGGCTGCACCGTAATCGTCTTCGATTAACCGGTCGTTGGAGGCCTCGAATACCTCCATTGTCACTCTTAAATCATGACATGCCCCTTTGTGGTCGTGTCGAATTTTCGGGGAGTAAATCGTTGGCCCCGTAACCGGAAAGATTAACGATGCACACGGAGGAGCACGTTCCCTCGGCGCACGTTCCGCTTGTTAACGCGATAAAGTAACCATGTGTTTCGGAGACGGTGTGTCGTCCGGTCCCGTGCAGTAACATTTCTTACCCTGTATTATCGCACGCAGCCCTCGGACAAGACGGCCCACGAGTCTTCAAGGAAGGTAAATGCATCGGAATTCCTCCGTCCCGTTTGTAGAACGTGTCCCGTTTTGAAATCGTGTTTGTACCGCAGCAGCTCGATCGATCGATCATAGAAACATACTCGCCCTCTGGATCACACTGAGCCTTGCTGTGATCATTCTGGCGTTGACAACCATCTTCTTCGTTCGACTGATGCGTCGGAAAGAGAGAATGGAACCACTGTACGGCGTCGCGAGATTAGACTTCCGGCGACCCGGTGACCTGACAAAGTCGGTCGTCTCGAAGAACAACCGGTCGGTTCTGTCTGTCGATAGACGTCTCGAGCAGGTGATAGACGAGTCGAACGCGGCCAGAATGCCTAGGTAAACGACTTACGAGGATATAGAGCCCCGATCGATCTTTGTCGCCCGTTAAAAGTCCCTTTAACGATACGCAGGTCTTGCTCGGAGCACCATTACGACGTGCCTCAGCTATCTTTGCCCTCTACCACCAGGCCGTCACCGAGTTCATCCGTGACCAGGTCTTCCTGTAGGAACTCCCAGCGTGGTCGAGGATTGTCCGACAACGAGGAAGGTCGATCGTCCCGTAAGGAATAATTGTCAACGCGTTGAATCTACCGAACAAGGTAGAAGCGTCTCTTTGGTAATGTTTGGCCTCTAGGTTCAACGTGTCACGCGAACGCTGAGAGCACCAATGAAGACGACGACGATCACGACGAGGACGATTTACTAGATGATGATAAAAGTCAAGGAGATTCGGGTGGTTTCATCGTTAGAGCGATAGTAGACGAGCAAGGTTCCCTGTTGGTGGTTCCTGAGGTTGGAGTCTCCATGTCTGTCCCAGAAGGAGCAGTTCCCCGAGGTCGTCGACACAGTTTACACTTAGCTGTTCTTGGAGACGACTATCTTAGGCCAGGTCTTCCGCCTGGTCTGACTTTGTTGTCAGCTGTGGTAGCCTGCGGGCCGAGTGACGTCGACCTGGTGAAGCCCGTGATTCTTCAGTTCGAGCACTGCGCTGAACTCAGGACAGATAATTGGGAGCTGAGCCTCTGGTCCACGGACCTCGACCTGGAGACACGGTCCAGTAACTCCACGAACTCGTCCACAAGCTCGAACGTTACGTCCACGATGATGTGGCGGAAGATCCTGACGCTGGGCGGAGAACCGATCAATCTTCCCGGACAACCTTTCGCACAGCTTGATCACACCGGGGTGTTCTTGGTCACCGAGACGCCCAGCGCCTACGCAGTAGCTGGTGAGAACTCTTCTGTCGCTCCTGGACTGGCGGTGAAGAGGATCTGCGTGGCTGTCTTCTTGTCGCGAGAGAGAGATCACGTCAGGTGTCATCTGATCGAAGACACAAAAGCTGCGTTCAAGCTTCTGGTGGATCGGGTGAGTGATTCAATTTTCCGCGGACTTTGGAGTTTGTTAATCCGATCGATACAGTAATACTACGTTTGACGACGTTCCATGATCGTTTTAATCCATCTAGGAACGTCGTCTGGGCGGAACTCGCGTGGACAACGGAACCCTAGGCTTCAGAGCAGGCGGATCGCCTCTTCGTATCGAACTAGAGGATAGAGAAAGTGGATTCGTAGAACGCCAAGAGGTTCCCCATCGTCGAATCTGGTCGTCGACGAGAACCAGTATAAAGCGATCCTTCAGGATCGAGAAAACCGTTGGCGAGATGAGACTGAGTTTCGAGCTACGCGCTAGCCAATGCGGTTTCGATGAGCACGCATTGTTCCTGAGGATCGACCTCGATTTCATGAAAAGAAACGGGTCCAGCGGGAAGAGATCTACCAAAACAGAGTCGTCGATCGTGTTACGCGGGAAGAACTCCAACAGGTCGACGGAATCTGTCGTTCCGAGACCATTCAGGTACCTCATATCCCCCCGTTCGATCAGATTTCACTGTATGTTGCTCATACGAAGATTTTGTTCAAGATTCTCGAAAACGCTGAGGAAACAGCTCTGCCAGTGTCTCGATCCGCCAAGCGCTCGGGGCAATGATTGGAGAATGTTAGCACAAAGGCTGCAAGTAGACCGGTCAGTTATCGTCAGCGATCTTGGTCCCAGACAAAAGAGGAGTACGTGACTAAAATATCCGTCACGATTCCATTTCAGATACGTCGATTACTTCGCGACGAAAGCGAGCCCCACGGAGCACATCCTGGACCTCTGGGAGGCGAAACATCAGGAGGCCACTGCCCTCGCGGACCTCCTGAACCACTTAAGACTGATGGGACGCGTCGACGCTGCCAATGTTCTCGAAAGTCGCCTCGGACCGTGGATCTGAGGCGTCGGACCACACTGCCTACCAACTAGCCGGTCCGTCGTTTATAATTTTACAAAGTTTTGTAAATAACAAGATAAGAAAACCGTGCATAACACAAAAACATCCAGAAACAAGTCGATGTAGAACCACGTTGTATAGAAACAACAGTCGTGTTTGTACATAAAGCTCGTTTATAGCAAACATCTGTGTCGTTCTCTCGAACCTTTCACTACTAACCCGAAGATACAGAAAGAATGGTAACAATTAATACCTGTAACGAGCACCCTTCCACGTCCTAAATGACCGCATGGTGCCCATTGAATCTTCGATTTCCTCGAATTCCCACGAAAGCCCATTAACAGTACCGATTCCGGGGGAACAATCACCGTTGTCTTTCGAACACCCCATCCCCGTGATCCCCTCGATGAAAGCACGATAATCGCGGGCGTAAACCCTTCGCAGAATCCCAGGCGTCGAGTTCTCTCGTCCATTCGTGATCCCTGACCACAATGCTGCTGTCCTACCGACAGGAAGATCGGAAGTAGCGAATGACGTTAGTCGGGCAATTTGCACCTGAATGCCTGGACCGCGCGTTCCTAGATCCTCTAGAAAGGGGAAGGAGAGGACGAAGGGATGCAGCCGCGGAGTATATTTAGGCGGCCATTTGACCAGCATTCGGACACATGGTATCGCGGCGCTAGCATTTCAGGTGGGCTTCTCTAGGTATCGCGCGTCCAAGAGCAAGGATGCGTGGGATGCTCGAAACAATGGGCATTATCCGGCCGAACGAGGGGGTGAGGGTCCTGGGATTCTGGCATGGCTCGAGGAGGCCTATAGCTATGCGAGGATGCCAGCCATCATATAGGTATGCGTGTGTATCCCTTTGCCTACCCTCGATGTTGCCTACCCTCCGCCACCCCTTCCTCTCTTCCAAGCATCTAGGGGTTGGAGGATCGGGGGGAGGGATATAGCATTTAATCACAGGAGGCCGCTGGTGGTAATTCCCGTCGGACAATGGCTGTTGACCTGCGTCACTGGGGACGCGGCGTAGCGCCGGTCACCCCTTTCACGCTAATACCCGTGAACTCGTTTTCTCTTTGTCGGTCACCCGCCGTCCGGATACGCTTCTATCTTCTTTCTGTAGGCATTCGCCGAAAACTGCTGGACCTGATCGAGGAAGAGGGAGTGCGATCGATCGCACGAAATACCGTGATGCCTGAGCCTTGCTCTCGCCAATGGGATCGACCTAGATTTCGAGGGGGAATGAGTCGCTCGGGATAGCTAATGGGGTCTTCGGGTGGAATTGGGGATTTGTCGGTGATTACTGATTAACAGCTTTTGTTTAGAAGACTAGAAAGACCAGCGTGGATTTTTGTAGAACTTCTAATTGATTCATACTACAACACTGTTCTCTATACATTAATGGTAGATCGATAGGTTCAGTAAGAGTTACACATTCCTGCGGAGTATGGTTCTCGAAAATATTCCAGCAAAGTCTAGTCTAGCCTTAGCATCCTTGTACAGTAAAAAATCGGTAAGTGTTCGGAGGCTTCTCGGTATTTGATTGTTCAAACGTCATCCCCATCATTGAGCGCTAGAATCGTCCCACAAGACCCCCTCATATATGATTTACTGTACGTATATCTCTTTATACTCAACACTGGCAGTTTTCTACTTGTCTGGCCACAGACGGCTCTATTCTACTTATTCGACCGACAGTTTACTCAACGTTCGCGGAACAGCGAAATCTCGACAAAAAGAAGGGTAAAACAATGGCCTCAGATTCACGGGGGTTTGGCACGGACAGGTTCTGGACATAGCGAGCGCGAGCGCGTGCAATGTGCCTCGTCCTTGCCGCGTCGAGGCAATTTTATCTACGACGTTGGGCGCGAAAACGTACTCGCCAAGTATCCGGTTGTACATCCGGCGTTCGCCCGACCCCCCCGAAAGGGGTTGAAGGAGGTACCGCCGCGAGCCGGTGGTAAACCAGCGGAGCGTCGGTGGGTTCCCAGCTCTGTTATCGGGCCGCCACGGCCGGTCGGGAGGGTTAGAGCACGGGCATTTAAAATGCAGATTAGAGAGCTGGCGGCCGAGGAAGCGAAAGCAAACGCAGACGTAAACGTAAGAGCGTTGGGTGGCAAGTGTTTTATTGGGGCCGGCTTCCGTTTTCTCGTTCCCTCCCCCCGCAACAGCCGGCAGCTGCCGCCGCGCCACGATGCCACCGGGAAGATAATGTCAGCCACGAGCTTCGCCGGTCCGCTAATTTATTGATCCCTGATTTATTTGACGGCTGCGCCCCGTCACGGCCTTAATTGCCCCGCGACGGCTTCGATGGACTTTAATAGGACACGAGAATGTAATTGGAGACCGGTGAGTTTTCTCGAGGGCAGGGTGAAGTCGAAACGGTCGATTCTTTCGTTGTGCTCGAAATAGGATACTCGAAGTGATGCAATACAACGCTCGATTAACGATCGAAACGTGGCGATCGTGTAAAAGGAGTTTCTAGGGCTTCTGACTGATAATTTTGGAATAGATAAGAATGTAGAATAGTAAAAACAAGTTTGATTGATTTTCTTGTTTATCCTTTGAGGGGTAATAGTGTCCTTGATCCGTTCGCCTGTCATTCTCTCACGGTATTAATTCCGTGGCAAGATTCCGTTGAATTGCAGTAGGGCACGGGACCATTCATTGGGGACGATTGAGTTCACGCGGAGGGATTATGACTTAGGGGACCGTCGGGGCAATCTCGTATACTTTTGTGCGACGAAAGAATAACAGGACAGTGATCAAAACAATTTTGTGGGTGACTCACCGGAACGACGACTCGCGTCTAATTGAGTGCTCAATGGCCACGACCCGCGGGTAATCACGATCATGAATTGGCAATCTAAATTATTCCTCCTTGTTACTCCGTCCCGGACAAATCCCTCGAATTATTGACGAACGATTAATAATCTCCGTGTTCGGCTCGGGGGCTGGATCGTCGGTTGAAATTGATTCGCCTCTCGGTTCCGCCCTTATTCCGTAGATACGACGCCCGTCGTGAGCTCATTTAAAATATTACCGGTCGATCCGCCGCGGCAGGAAAGTAAGCGAGTTCGGAAATCCGACGTTGGAAACTTGTCGGAGTTTACCCGGCCAATCGGCGGCACTGCCGAAGGGGGAAAGGGTGGGATCGGAGAGATCCTTTCGCGACTTATCGAAGCCGAAGATCAAAGCGCGCGGGCGCCCAGTAACTCGAGGCAAACCGTCGTGATTCCGAGGTAAACCAAGAAGATCCAGTCTAACTCGAGAGACCAGACCATCGGAGCTGTGTAAACGCAAGGACCCAGCAGGTGGCAGGTGGTGGCGTTAAGCCGGCTCCAGAACTTGTCGATTTACCCACGGTGTAACGAGCTTAAAACACGATTCGCTTCACCCCCACCCCCTCCCCACACTCCTACCCCCTGTTCCTCTGTGTGTACGCCGTCAACTGTCGTCCTCTCTGTCCTTTCCATCAACGTTCCCGTATATATCCGTCTCCTCTATTTCGTGTCGGAAGCCACGAGCGTTTGGCAGTTACATGAAATACGAGTGTGGAAGCTCACTGGATGCGCATTGTCCGGTCGCACCGTTTCAAGCGGAGCTAGTAACAATAGAGAGATAGAGATAGAGTGAACGGGCGCAAGGGTTGGTGGCGATGGCGATGGTGGGGCAAGGGTGACCTCGGCTCGATTGTCCTTTAATTTACGGGAATTGCAACCCCCAGCAGCCTCAGTTCGCGTCGCGCTACTGCCAACGCCGCAAGCACTCACCGTTCTCCATCCCTCACCATCCCCTGAAAACCCCTCTTTTCGTCCCCTGTCCACCGTCGCGCCCGAACGAGCCCCACTCTTCACGCGTCAAGCTCGTTGAGTGCTCGAACGCACGCCACGAGCTTAATTCGATCTCCATAATCGCTCGGGCTTTACATAATCGGCGAGTGCTAATACCGATTCCCGCTACAACCGATTCTCGCCATGGTCGCGCCGCGATTGAGCGGCACGGATTACACCTGCACGCCGATCGAGACACGGGCGCAGGTGCGCGCACACGACCAAGTGTCGACGGGAGTTGGAAGGGAGGGGGGTGATTCTGTGCACGGCGTTTGCGATACTGCCTTGCTTTTTGCGCGTACGCGACGGATTATCGGGGTAACGGTAATTAAATCCCGAAGGAATGTCCGATATATCGACGGGATTCTGTCTGTACTCTGTGGGTCTGTTCTTTCCTTGCTGCTGTCTGATGGTGGCTGTGCAGGAAAATACAGATTGGTCGCTTTGGTCGACAGAAATTTGTATCATTGATAATATTTGCGAAATTTAGCGTTGATGAATTTTCTCTTGAGAAATTACATTTATGGCTGTCGATAAGTAATAGACGTGCATAGACTGTCAAAGAAATCATATTAATAAAAAGTACAGATATTGTTACGGTCAATCTTAATCGAATGATATTGTTGACTTTTCATGTCGTCGCAAAAATATCCTAGTAATATGTCTGGGAGTCTGATTAACACGTTGACTATCACAGTGAAAAAGGTCGTACGTAGTCAGACAAACTTCATTTCGTTTTTAGGTCTTAAATATGGGTTTGTTTAATAGAGGCTATTGGTCTTGTTTGCAGTTCAATAACCCAGCCTCTTTACAATGTAACGTGTCACCCAAATCTAGATGACGTGGCAGTCAAAGTCTTAAGGCAATAACGAAAAACTGATGGCTTTCTTCAACCTCTCCAAAAAGAATTCCACCATTAACAAATACGCTCGGTCCGTTCATGGACCATTTATTGCAGACTTCTCTACCACCGCAGCAAGATCCGTAGTACCATCAAAGCCGCCGACACGTGTAACCCTTACCCCATTTAACTTTTCTTTCGCCGGCAGAAATCACCGCTTTATGAGTCACAGGGGAAACGGAGCGAAAGTAATGGGGATGCGATCGGTAGGTGCCATTTCGTGACTGCGATCCGGATGATCTCCGCGCGCCGCTGTCGGTACGATT